AACCATAATATCTAGATTGTGTAATTATTGGTGGTTATGATTTCATTTTTTACACTCTTCTAAATTTTACAAAATGTGGATTTGTTTTTATAACAGGAAACATTACTAAAATAAACAACTAAATTCAACAGTCATTTCTTCATTTGCATTCATCAATTTTTTCTGGAGAACTTCAATTTTAGCTTGGTTTTCTATTACTTTGCCTATCCTCTACTTTCTTGTAAAATTCTTTCTTCCGCTTTGCCAATTCCTCTTCCTCATTCTGTCTCCTAAAAGCAGACACTGCCAAGAGGTCTCCCTCTGGTCTTTTTCTTATCTTTCTTTACAATCTCATCCATTTCCTATCTCCCGAATTTCTCTTCTGAGCTTTGGATTTACATCTTCTGGAATCTGCTAGACCAGTCCACCTGCATATCTGGACATCATCACGTCCCAAACCTATCTCTTCATTTTTTATTCACTAGCTCATTCATTCAGCATTTACTGACTGTCAACTATGTCCTGGAGCCCTGGTGGCACAGTGGTTAAGCGTTTGGCTGCCAACCAAAAGGTGGGCAGTTTAAATTCACCAGCCACTCCTTGGAAACCCTATGGGGCTGTTCTATTCCGTCCTTTAGGGGTCGCTATGAGTTAGAATAGACTTGATGGCAATGGGTTTGGGGTATGTCCAAGACAGTGTGCTAGAGACTAGGGATACCACTTTTTTCACTGTAATTCTTCCACTCATCAAATTCAAACCTTAAAATCGCCTTTGATTCCTTCAGTTTTGCATTCCTCCTACCAGTCAGCAGTTGCTATACTTTGTATATGAATTTGAGTTCAGAAACACCTTTCATTTTCATGCCCTTTTTTGCATTCCCACAAATAGCATTCTCTTTTGGTCTTTATTCTTTCCTGGATTATCCTATGATAGCTTCTGAAGTGATGCGTTCTTCAACATTCCTTCATCCACAATTTTAATTTATCACACACAGAGCTATAAGATAAATTATCTGAAAACATCATTCAGGTCATAGTAGTCTCCAGCTCAAAAAACAGTCAATAGTTTCTCAATGAATGCCAATTAAATACACAACCCTCAATTTGGCATTTAAGGTCCCCTCCCAATATATTACATCGAGTTGGATAAAATTCTTATTTTGTAATTCAAAAATGGTCAAATATTGGCCATTTCATATGTTGCAACCTAATAGCATTTATGGACCTTTCCATCCTTAGCGTCTAAGATTCCCCTTCTTCTACACTCTAGAATATAGATGAGATCAATCTATGCTTTTCATGCAGGTTTACTTCCTTTGGTTCCTTTTCGAATGCTGTTTGTTCTTCCTGGAGCTCTTAAATGCATTATCTTCCCCTTGAATACTTCTACTCATCCCCAAGATCCACCTCAAAAGACTCACCTTCCATAAAATATTTCCTGTTGAATCCCTTCCCAGTTATCAGTAATCCTGCCCTGCAATGAAGTCCTTTAAGAAATTATTCATCTCTTTCTTACGATACCAATGAGCCTTGATGTCACTGTCTTGTCTTATTCCACTGCTCCTAACTAAGCTCTGTAAATATTTCTGTTGTACCCTACTTTGCAAGTGTACTTGTGTAATTGTTAGTGTCCTCAGTGATGTTTCTGGGTTATCAGCTGTACTTGAGATTGAAGGTGGTATTTTCACACTGTTCATGATAGTCTTCCCTGCATGCTTATTTATTTTGGCCATGTTGAACTTTTATCTGCCATTATTTCAATTTCAAAATTTTACAAATATGGCATCGGTTACACTACTTAGCACTTGAATTCTCTAGTTAATTATATCTAATAGGTTATATTACAAATAATAAACAATTGAATAATATGATTTTATTGTAATGACATAGATCATTTCATAATTCAGTTGTTTAAAAACTTACTAATTTATTCTCTGACATTCCTCCTTGGGAAACAAAGTTCTTCAGATTAAATATCAAAATATGTAAGAATTAAAAAATATGTCAAAGTTAAGTATTCACAGACATATTCAGTACTATCTTATAGATATAAAAATAATCTTCAGGAATACTGTTTTAACCTTATTGTATGTCATATGCATAAATAAAACAACAAGAAAATGATTATGTGTCAAAAATAAGCTAGGAAAATGTAATATATAGTGATTAATATGAAGGACTTTGGGGTCAGACTTGGTCTGATTGGTTTGAACTGACTGAAGTCTCAGTTCATTCATCCATAAAATGGAGACCATATTATCCCCCAGGATTGTAGGGAGAGTTAAATGAGATAACGTACGTTAAGGGCTTAGGATAGAACCTGGCACACAGTTAATAACAAAAAAATTGTAGTTTTATTAATAAAGATAAATAACATGAAATAAAAGCATTTTCTAAATCTATTATGATTATAGAAGTCACTTTATAGGTTCCTTCATAATATGTACTGCTTTATTTTTCTTGTTAAACGCTTTGCTACTCATTATGTTCTGGTAAGTATGACATCATTTCTAGTATTACATTTATAGGAAGAGCTAAAAAAAAACCCCTCCTTGTGCTGCAGCAAAATCTTGGCCAAAGCCATGAAGAGCAATAAACAATGTCAAGACTGGGAGTAGTATTTAGGAAGCATCCATAAAGCAAAACTCATGCTGCAGTTTGGCATCCTTCCCCTAGCTGATGAAAGTGAAAGGGGACATTTCAAAAATTCTTTCCATCTTAACCTGGAGCAAGAAAAATCCTTTTTCATATAGCTTGGAGAAATTTCTACAGAAGGATAGTCTGCTTTTCTAACTAGCATTAATTATCATTAATTAGAGACATGTAATGAATATTTTGGGTAGCTAAAAAAATAAAAGTACCAAATATCGGTTTCATACTGTGTAATCTCATAAAACGTAAGAAAAAATGTCAAGGGGAAAATGATGAGGAATTTGTTTATCCATTAAACAGCTAAACATTTATTGAGCTCCTACTATGGTCCACGCACTATTCTATGTGCTGAAGGTATGAGGGAAAAAATTAGTTATGGAATTCACTAATGGCAAGATGATACTGATCAGAAAACACAAGACAAAGACCCCTGACTTTGTTAGAGTTCCAGAGAAAATTCTCTTTTGATTTGCCCACCTAGCAGACTATTTAAATAAACACTGTTTTATTACACAAAATATGTCCCTACACCCCCAGACTGATTTTAAATGGTCTCTGAAAATTCAAGTAGTGGCTATTGAGAGCCTCTTGGTGAAGTCATATGCCACTTCTCCAATACCCAGACAAATCGCAAGAGACTTATCAGTCCCTATTGGCAATATATTGAGTGCTTTTTTTTTTTTTAAGCCGTTAAGTAATAATTTCATGCTTTTCCAATTCATGTAAATACTTGTGAGTTCAAAATTAATATAGTTACTGAATGAATCTGAAGATTAGGAAATAGATTTTCACATGAAATAACTGCTGTATGGATTTAGTTAGGTGGGAAAATACCAAACAGGTTATTTTTCATCAAACAAAATGATTTCATTTTCTCTGAGTGAACCCTAAAAAAAGAGAAAAGTCCCACGGGTTTGACAATTCCCAGGAGGAATGATAGGTCCTGTTTGGGGATTTCAGACATGATTCCCCTGAGCCTAATTTCTGAGGAAAGATGCAATGTTTTCACATAGCTCTGAGACTAGTCTAATAGAATTTTTTCAATATCTGAAACAATGGCAATTTCCTTTTTCAGAACACTCTGATTTATTTTACAAAATTCATTCTCTGGTTTAAAAATCTTATGTGATGCTGTCTGCACTCTGGAAGGGTGGGGACAGTGTCATCTGCTCCTTCCTTCTCTCCCACAGTAACTACCCACAGCGGCAAGGCTCTTAGTAAGTGCTTGTGGAATAAATTAAAGTCCTCATAATTACACATTGCAGAGAAAATTAAACAAGGATAATGCATTAGTATCCTTGAAGGGCTACCAATATTCACACTCACAGGTGTAGACTCACGTACTCAGAGTATTTCAGGATCAGTAGTCGACCATTAACCATTTTCAAAGGTATACACGTTTTTAAAAAACTAATTGTACTGCATAAAATATTTTAGACTGATAATCTTGAGGGGAAATATTATACGGATGCTAAGGGAAGTTTTAAATAATGTCATTGATCTTCTCAGCAAGGCAGAAAATGTCTTCCATTTTTTAAAGGCAAATTACAAATATATGTTTTATTGACATATTGACATAAGTACATACTAACGTCAAAAGATAATCTTAAAAATTAAGAAAAAAGTAATAGCTATAATTAGCCCCCAAATGAGCATACATCCTGATGCTGAATTTGAAAATTAACATTTTTCATTTAAGGCAAAAGGCCCAGGATCAATGGATTCAACTGCTTCCATGGCAAGATAAAGGATTAATTTCTTATGCTGTCGATGCTGAATAAAGCATACATAAAATCAATTTTTTTAAAAATAACTAACATACCTAGCCTTTTAAAACATCCATTTCTAAAAATTAAAGCATCAGTGAAGAAGCTACAATGTTTATCTGTAAAAAACCAACATTACTGAGTCATTCCTGGGCTTTTATCTCTAGCACTCATTCTACCTGGGGAAGGCAAACCATTGAATTTAACCATTTTCAAAAATTGCTTTTTCACAGGGTTCCTTCAGATAAAATCATTACTTGGTATGTTTCTCTTAACTCAAATTATTAAATTTTGATTAGGATAGAGAATTTTGGACCTTTTTTTTTGTTGGTACAATAATATAATCCAAAAATAAGCCAGACATGTTGATATTTATTAATAACTTGCAACACAGGCAAAAAACTCAATTCTTAAAGACATCCTGTAATCAAAACAGCCTTGGAAAATGGTACTGTCTGCGTAGGAAATCATACATGCTATAAACAATGATCAACGTAGGCTTAAGAAGAAAGCAACAACCATAGAGAGATTAATTTAAATAAAAACATTTGGATTCCTCACTGCTTTTTCCTCATTTAAACATCCAAATAAAACATGTGGTACCTTTTAATTTTCTGAATGAGTAGGTCCCAATCAATGTTTCCTCGGTTAGAGACAAGCTGAAGAATCTACCGGAACAAAACAAAAAGAAAAGAATACGTATATAGATTTATTAACTAAATATTGAAAATTGTAACTCACCAGTAAGCAAACGCAGTCTTTATATCCAGATAACAAATCTATGTCTTGAGATCTGTAGTACAAAAAATGCAGTACTGGATTTTTTAGGAAGCTTAATAACAAAATTTAAAGCCTTTTAACCTGAAATCACATAAAGCAGATCCTTTGAAAGATGGGACAAAAGATAAAAGAAAATAAAACAAGAAAACCCAAACCATTACCAGCGCATATGCAGCGATACCACCACCCAAGCCTAGCCTTTGAGGACTGCTGCAGAATCCTTCTTCCGGAGCATTATTCTCCACGGGCTGGCTCTCTAGCTCCAGACAGACGCAGTCTGCAAGCCACCAGCTCCTGTCTGTGTGTGTCGGGGAAAGGGAAGCAGCAAATTAGAAAAAGTCCCCGCAGTGGCGAAAAGGAAAATAAGGCGAGTGGGAGAGGGAAAGAGAGCTCACTAGCCTCAGAATTTTCGAGAATGATGACAAGCCACCCAGCTCCGCCATCATTCACTGACAATAGGATGCAGCATTGGCTTACGATTTAGCAGTTTGCCATAGGGGCTTCTGGTATCAAATGCCTGACAGGCATTTTAATTGCCTCCATCCAAGTGTGTCCCCAGGAGTCGAGTCTATAAGCCTATGAATGTCATTATCTGGCCTCCTTTGTGTTAATGCCAGACACACGCGCGCGCACACACACACGCACACACGCGCGCACACACACACACACACAGAGTGCTTAAATGAAAAGACAGTTTTCAGGCATATAGGATTACAAATGTTAAGTTAGGGTACACAAACTGGACATGACTAAATGATACTTTATGGGAATTTGCGTTATCTGCATTAATGACAACAGAGATTCTTTGATGCTTTGTCACCGGCAGATAATAACAATGTTTTTAAAACTGAGTACTGCACATTGTTTATTTATATTCCTAAGTAAATGTGCTCATTTGAGAAACGTATATATTTATGTATATTTTCTTATGGAAAATTCGATCTTGTAACTGCGATAATTACGCGTTGACAGTGTTCTCCTTTCAAGAGAGAAAGCAACAAAAAACAAAGAGAATTAGGAAACCAGAGTTGATGCGTGGTTTTTGTGGGCAATCTATTTTATTCCAGTTATATACAAAAGCAAAAAGGAGGTGGCAACCAGCTTGAGCACTGGGGCTTCATAGTCCCTGAGGACCAAGACAGGGAATTGAATCTCCGGCATAATCAGTATCCCTTTCATGTTAGCTGCTGAAATTAACAGTTGAATATCCCTGTTTTACAGTGTCCCTTGTGTAGGGAGGTTAAGTGTGGAATAATTCCCTGCATTTATTTCCTGGAGAAAAAGAACGAGGGAAAATGTTAATAACTAAAATAATTTTTATGGCATTGTTAGCTCCCTGCATCAGTGAATGGAGCAAAATTCGATGTGTACCAAAAGGGCCAGCTGTGAAAAAGGCTGCTGGGAGGGAGCATCACCATGGTTACCGGAAGCAGAAAGTAAAGAGAAAAAATAAGGTGAAGATAACAGAGAAGAGGAAACCGGACTACAGTGAAGAAAATGTAGAAACGAATGATATGCTTCATTCTTTTCCTTCTTGAAAAAATTGTGTCTACCAGTTTTACACTGTCTTCTGACTCCATTAAGATGAATCTGCCTCCTCTATCAACCACCTTTCTTACCCATTTTTGATCACTAGCTAATTTTGCTCTCATAATATTCACATTATGGTCTTTTGCACGTGGTCGATGCCGCTACTACTTGCCTCTGTCCATACACCTGGATTCGTCAAAACCACTCATGGGAGTCCACACCTTTTGTTTCATAGCTGAGAAAGCTGAAGCCCAGGGAATTTGACCAAGGTCACAAAGAGGGCTGGAGATCAGCAGAGGTACCATCCGGGTTTCCTGACTCAGCACCCCTGTTTTCCTTCTCTCCCCAAGTGGCTTTCTTTCCCAGCTCTCTCCCATTCTGTTTGTAAGCAAAACAGATTCCAGAAACATCGTTTGTCTTTGATTTTGTAAGCCTTCTTTTAGTTGCCAAAGCAGCGACCTTCCTCTTTAAATTGCGCTGCCATCATTCTGAGGACTAGCTTTGCTTAGTATCTGTGCTGTATTATATACACGGTCTGCAGAATCTGGGGTAATTATGTCATTACTTTTGTTTCCAGCTTGGCAATCAGATCAAAGAATGATTGCCCTTCTGTGAACCTATCTTGTTGACCCTGAACTTACTTATCACATACTAGGCACCCCTATCAAGCCTGGCGTCATTCTTTCTGCAAGCATGAAATTGGACAATCAGATTGATTCAGCCTCCCAAGGTTCCTTGTAGGTATGAATAATACGAGCCTTCCTCGGGTTACCCAAACCAGTGAAGCTGGAAAATTGGGAGCCCAGGTAAAAATCAACAACAAAAAAGATAAGTCACTCAAAAATAACCACTGGAGGGCGCAATACTTGCTAAAATCTTTCTGAACTACTCAGTGAAAATTGTGGTTGGGATCTTGACCTTGAAATTTTACTGTTTTTATTTCTTTTCACATGTTCTTTCAATATTCAGTTTCTATGACTCACCTCTTTTGGTTATATCATCTACACAAGCCCATATTGCCCTTTCTGATGTCTAAAATACAGTTGCCGCCACCACCACTACCCTTTGCCCCCCATATGTAAGCTATAAGATGAATAAATGACATTTAAAAAATACGATTACTACAGCTAACAATTACAAGATATCGCAGGTCTCAGTGACTCTAAATACTGATTAAGATTCTCCTCCCATCCCCAAAGTGTTCCTTTAAATATGGTCTCCTTGTTAAATGTCTCTATTTTCCTTCAGTGATTTTGAACATTAATGTAGTTTTTCAAATACATGTTTTCTTTTAGTATATTGCAGTCTGTTGTTCACCTCTGAGCACAAAAAATGATGCAAAAGACTGTCATTTTTTTGAAGTATGAATCATATTCTATCACGATCCCGTGAATGACACATAATAGTCCTGGTCAGCTTAGAAAATAGCACAGCTTCCGAAAACATCTAATATTCTCTAGGAGTCATTTAGGAGCCCTGGTGCTACAGTGGTTAAGCACTCGGCTGCTAAGTGAAAGGTCAGCAGTTCGAATCCACCCGCCACTCCACGGGAGAAAGATGTGGCAGTTGGCTTCTGTAAAGATTTACAGCCTTGGAAACTCTATGGGAGCAGTTTTACTCTGTCCTATGGGGTCGCTGTGAGTCAGAATTGACTCGACGGCAGTGGGTTTGGTTTTTTTTTTTTGGTAAGGAGTTATTTAGTATTTGGAGACATCTGGTTCAGTAAATGAGAATGAATTGGTATACGCTTTTTTTTTCTTTTCCATTTCTTAGTTGAAAAGACTATTACTTTAACATGTCCATTGTAGAGTAAGCACTATAGATAAAATATACTTCCTGTTCCAAAATATGATATATTCTAAGAATATAAGGAGATAGCAAAAAATACTGTGACTGTCAGAGAATTTTCAAGGGTTTTTTTTTCTTTCATATTTATCTTTTGAGCATAAACTGTGGTACTTTCTTTACCCTTTCTGGCTTTGCCAATGTTCTAAACATTCAGTTCACCAGTTCATTTAACCAATTGCCATGGCAAACATATATATATATTTCAGACACATGATAGGTGCCAGAAATAGGAAAAAAAAAAAAAAAAGGCAATTACATTGCCTCTTCAAGGAATTTCAGTTACAGTGGAGGAATATAAAAGTAAATATAAAACTAACTTCACACTTCTTCTCACTTTGATGTAGAACCTTGATATTAATTCTCTGTCACTGACGTCTCTGCCCCTGTTATATCAGCTTCATCTCAGATCCTGATCTTTAAGAATCTAATTTTAGTATATCCCCTTACTTCATTCTGTTGTGCATAGGGTTGCTATGAGTCCAAACTGACTTGATAGCACCTAACAACAGCAACATATTCTGTTAGCTCCCTGTGGCTCTTCTGGAAGACCCTTGGTTTCATTCCCTAAATATATATTTCCCTGTGCATTGATATATCAGTGTTAAGCTCTCTAGGAATGAATAATGGAGGCATGTCTTCCTTGCTTCCTTGAAGTCTTTGCTCATATATCATCTTCCCAACCAGGGCTTCACTAACTACCATATTGAAAATAGCAACCACACCCCTTCCTCACAGCCCTCCATCCCCTTATCTGCTCTCCTTTGTCCTTTATTTCCATAGCACTTATCATTGTCTATCATACCATACAATTTTTTAAAAACTATGTTTAGTGTTTATTACCTGCTTCACCCTGTGAGAAGTGAAGTTCTGTGGGGGCTGTCAGATGTGTAGGGCACTGGTATACCCAAAGCAGCTAAAACAGTACTTGGCACATTCTAGAGCTCAAAAATATTTTTTTAATATTTTATGAGTTAATGACTAAAAATCACAACATTGGTGGATGAATAAAAGTGTTTTAACATGAGAAAAGTTCTTGTATTCCATACTGATTTTCCCTATTGTACGTATTCAGTCTCGCTTGTGAAAACTGCCTTTTATTTATACTATAAAACGCCTTTAGCCATAGAAGCGATATTTTAGTCACTTCTATCATAGGATATAAAATTATTTAGAATAGGGATTTGTCTCTTACTTTTTTTGAACCCTTCAGAATACCAAGCATGGGGCTATTAGTCCATAATCCTCAGAAAGAGCTTGTTTGTCAAACATACCTTATAGTCATGCTAAATTATGATAAATTTTAATGTTAGATCATTTAAATAGAATTTTAATACTGACATAAAATTTGAATAATTAACTAAATAATACTGCCTTGTGGCCAAAATGCAGTGAAATGGCTTTTTAAAAAATCAATCGTAATTGCTATAATTTTCACTTTTTAAAATTAATAGTAGAAATAATAATTATAGTTTCATCTAGTACTCTTAAATTTGAGTTATTTTAAATATAA